AAATGAATTTGAGTATGTATAGGTAAAATGAATGAAGGAGCGGGGGTGTTGTTACTTGACGTTTATTATGTCGCTTTTCCCCGGGATTTTATGAGTTTAATTTGTTTGGCTTTTGGGGGTAGTTCATTCAACTCAAGGAAGCTCATATTTTTAGAAAATTTAAGAGGATTGGTTTATTCTTATTGCATATCTCGTTTAATTTAACCATTTGTAAATGAAATTATTATCAATAATACATACGATAAAAAAACTGTTGGAATAATAGTCGTTGGAATACTCAAATTTCATCTAAATACCAATAGAAAAAACTCATTCCAACGGAATAATTCTGTTGGAATTATTGTTGGAATCATTCTAGCGGAAAGCTATACCATCGAAAAATTTGTTGGAATTTTCCATTAAAATATATTGTCGTAGGATTTTTCATTACAAAATGATATTTTTTGTGGTGCGATACTATACCTAATTCAATGAGAGGAAACATTATTTTATTTTTATGAACGAGTCATTCGTTTGAGATATTGAGTTACGACAATAAATCTAAGATTTTTTAAAGTTTTTAGATTTAAGATAAATCCTTATAAATCTTATGTCTGGATATGGGATTTGGCGCGATGTTTCTTTTTTTTTTTATCGGAACGATAGGGATAATAAATAAGAGCACAAAAGTGCAAAATGAACAAATTACAAGGCCCCAAAGGGGTAATCTAAGGCCCCAACAGGGTAATGAGACAGGGGCCAACGGCCCAAACAAAGAACACACCTACAAACAAACAGGAATAGAAAACTGAGAGGACACGCACATGGCAGCCTAGATAACTCCACAACCGAAAAATAAAGGAAAATGAAAAACAGAGCCACTGCACAATGTCTAGCCTGTTTTCATCTCCGAAACAGAAACACAAGATACAAGCAACACAAACACAAATAACAAAAACAGACAAAAAACTAAAATAAACTAAACCAACAGCCCTTCCTCAGCGAAGGAGCTAGCCCGAACTAGCAGTGAACGATCGACACAAGACAAGACCAGGCCAGAGCGTCTGCTACCGAAACTGCAATCAAGCCTATACATTAGAAGAAGTCCGATCTCGAACCAGTCCCCGAATCGACCCATCAATAACCGAGAGAGCCAAGTCCATCCAACACCGATTCCACCCGACCCCTTCTAACACCACTAGACAAGGCCGATAGAACCTCCCCCGTCGCCTAACACCACTAGTCAAACGGGGGATTGCGCAAGAGAAACGGCCCTCAGCCCGGCCACTGCAACCCATACGCCGCAGCCACTGGAGTCCCGACCACCCATAGACTTTCGCACTGACCGTATCTCCATAGACACCCACGAACAGAGGTTCCACCCCGCCCAAAAAGACGGAGCTCCGCCGGAAAAGGACAACCCAGCCATCACAGATAAGGGAGAGACATGACTTACCAACACCAATCAGAAAATCGCTGGCGACGGAAGAACTCCACCACCAAGCTCCGACCAGGAATGTCGCCGCCTCATGAAACCCTATCCGCAACCAAGAGCAGGAGCCAAAGGAGGCCGGGACGGTCATCGACGACCACTAGCCGTGACTATCCGGCGCCGAGGAAGGCGAATTCATCATAAATTGAAGGAGGCGCCGCGGAGAGATTTGGGGGAGGGTTCGCCGGGGAGGGTTATCTTACCTTTATTGGCGCGATGTTTCTTATATTCTTTTTATTATTGAAATCTCATTAAACCTTACAAAGTTCAGACAAATTTGTATTTGTTATAAATATATATGATCCACCACCATTAATTTTATTATAAAGTAATATATATGAATGACTATTTTGCCCCTGATGTAATTGTATTATTACAATTGTGCTATCTGTTTTTCCTATAATTAGGAGCTTCAGTTATAATGAAAATTGTACCTAAGAGAAATATTTTCTCTATTCTCTCTCTTTCTCTCTAGTTTTATAACACGTTATCAGCACGAGTCTTTACCCTCCAGAGCTCGGTTTGTAATACGAAAAGAGTATGCTCTACAGTTGCGTCTTATGAACAATCCTCTGTATCAGAAATCAAATTATTACAAATCATTTTTTTAACAACTTCATACCGAAACTCTCGAGTTTATGTTAATTATAATCCCTCATTACATTGACATGTAACTGTGCCTCGTAACACCCCTATAAATGGAAGTTATGTTGTTGTAGGTTTTCTTTAGGAATGCTCTTTCTACTCCTTATACTAATAAGATAAATTTCAGTCCAAGGCAATGGAGAAGCTGGAAAACCACACATCAAGTATGTCAAAGTAATTAGTATTTTTGCATAAGCAAATTTGCAATCCAACTACATAAATATTTGCCTTACAAATTAAAATAGAATAAGAAGTAGAAAAAGAGAAGAAGAAAAAGGGAAAAAGAAATTTTGAAGGAAAGTAAGGTGTATCATGTGTGCTGGGTGCAAGATTGGAGAAAAAAGATGAGGAAAATGAAAAGAAAATTAGAAACAGAGAAAGTACAACTTACATGATACAAATAAGAGTTCATTCATGCCTTTAGTATTAGCAGAAGATATGTGTGTTGAAGAAAATTCTCCCTTTTTCATCAGTTTTATTCTCCCAGCTTACGAATGGATAGAGAAAAAGTAAAAGATTATGCTGGGTTCATTCCCACACAATACCAAAATGATAATAAAATAATGTGCAATATTGGATAAGTCAATTCTCATGAAATGAATGCACATGATGTGTCCACTACCACTTGATAATAATGTCCACTTGCAGCATGAGCAACAAACTTAATTATTTACTTACAGAATTATTATATTATTATGTTACAATAGTTTATTTAATACGAGTAACATATGCATTTGAAATTAAATTTGGTTAGTTTTATGATTGCTCATTTAATATGCTTTAGTTTGAGACCAATATTTATGATTAATTAAACTATATTAAGATATGCCATGAAATGTTTAAATTATTGTATTAATAGCTTGGTATTTGAGAATGTGGATATTTATGGTTTGACACTTGTGATATAAAAATAAAAATGTTTGGCTACGAGTACCGACCAGTGCGGCTCTACTGTCGGCAAGTAATATTTAATGGTATCCGATAGGTCAAATGTTGATCGAATTACTATAAAGAAGTATGAAAGATCATGAGAAATAACCGAGCGGTGTGGCCACCAGCAACATACAGTAAAAGATTTAAACTGCTAAATAGACCGGTCGACGTATTAATGATGACCGGTGATGGCCAGATGATAAGTGTACTGAATAATGATGACCGATGATGGCCAGATGATAAGCGTATTTGTTAATGATAGCCGGTGATATGAAATGGCCAGATGATAAGGCCATGTGTAACAAAATATGAATGGCTATATATATACATGGGTCTGGCAGTGCGTTGTCGTCGGCCACGGGCAGTGCTAATAAGTGATAGTCGATGAGTGAAATTAATGATACTTTGTATTTGGCCATGTGAAAGCTAATAAAAGTCCTTTTCATGAACGGATATTATTTGGAGTAATCTAATCCTGAAGAACAGTTGATAAGTTCTCCGAATTTTCGAATGGAGAAAATTGATGTAGTACAAGAAGTTGCTACATAATTATTAAATGATATCGTGGTATAGTGGTACTGAAAGCTACCACATTATGATTAAGCAAAGTGATGAAATTGTACCTGAAGCTACGATTACAAAATTGAACAATTTGAGAAAGTGGTATCAAAAGCTACCAGTTATGGGTGATCACACAAAATTATTTCTCAATACATTATATGAGTCTAAGGGACTATATCAATCACATTGAGATTCGAGATATTACAATGAAGTGCTCCAGAAGAAGCACATATGATAATAATTGTAGTTATGAAGCACTACACACTTCTTGTAGGAAAGAGAAATTGATATTATTATTAATGAGAAATAAGTACAAAAAGTTCATATGATGGAAATATGGAGAAGAGGCATTACATACTCGATAAACACGAAATACGCAAATATTACATAATAGAACCCATAAAAGAATGGTGCGTCTCAAGAGTAGAAAACTCCGTAACTCTGCCACCCATTATTGTTATTTAGTTTCATAATGAGAGATCTAAAGGATCAAAAGCTCTTTTTCGCTTGACCCCTTGTGTTTCACAGAATCTTGAAATGTGATGCATTCTTGAAGCTTTTTGATAAGCTCAGCAGACGTATCTGCAGATTTGAATACTTCTTTCGTTGGAGGAGATGTAAAGGTTTGATATACTCCTTGGTCTAAAAATCCAAGCAAACCATGAAAAAATTTATTAAAATTCAATAGACCTATGTGCTTGTTATGAAGTTGTAATTCTGCCCAAGAAGCAATGGTGAA